ACATATAGTAGTAATTATTACTACATGTCATAATAATTACTATACATGTAATAATTACTACATGTCAATAATTACTATATATATATCATAATAATTACTACATATAACAATAATTACTATATATCATAATAATTACGACATGTAATAATTATTATTATATATTACGACATGTAGTAATAATTATGATATGTAGTAATAATTACTACACATAGTAATATTTACTACAATTAAAGTTTTAAAAAGTTTGTATAAAAATATTTCAAACTGAAAAACTATATGTAAGGTAGCATGAGCAGTATCTCATATATCATCATAAATATTACCAGCTCTAAATATCTTTTCTTTAAAATCTATATTGTCTATTACTGCCAAGTTCCAGATATTTGGTCCTGACTTTATTCTTTTTTGTACATCTGTTTCTAGTATTCGATTTCTTCGAACTTTTACCTCATAATCTTTTGAGTATGCTACTACATTTGCAGCATGAAGAATAGCATGCAAATATGATACAAGCTTGGGTCGTTCACAAAAAGATCCAACTATTTGTAGAAGCCAAAATTTCTAGCTTCTAAATACATGTATTAAAATAGCAGAGGAAAGAAAAGATATACTTTTCACTATTTCACTCTTGCCTAGCTCAGTTATTGTAGTTTTGCATTCTTTTTGTTTTCGTTTAATTATCTCATGATTTTTAAGTTGCAAAGTGAGAATCAGACCATCAAAGAAGCTTGTTAAATATTTTGGCATTGCTTTATAATATTGTTGTAAAGTTTCAGGGCTCTCTAATATTTCCTTATATGAAAATAAACTAGCATGTGACTTTAAAATTTTAAGGGCAAGTAATTCTCCAAATTCTTCATATTTTTTAGGCTTCAATATAAATTGTTTTAATTGTTTAGAAAAATCTAACTCTTTGGCCTTGAAAGCTGTATTAACCACAAACAGGCTAGGTAGCTTATTTATTTGTACCGATGATGAATTCAAGTCAAAGTTTTTTAGACATGAATACAGAGCTTGAAGTAAATATTTTTTCACATTATCATCTTCTGACTCTGCCATCATCTCAATTAACTTTACAAAATGATAAAGAGCAGTTGTAGTATCATCCAAATATTTTGCAATACAACTGATATCTACAATATTTTCTAAGCCATGACATATGTGCAAATGCTCTTCATTTTTTTCATAACATTGGCAGCACAAAGCAAACTCCCCACGAATTTTTTGTATTTTTTGTACCTGTACTATTTTTAATAGCTGGGCAGAGAACCATTCTACGACAAAGTACTTGTATTGTCTGATTATGTACAATCTATGTATATTCTAAACAACTTACTCTACGCCTAAAAAAAACTCTTTTTTTGTGACAAAAAAGGCAGATATGAGAATTGAATTGACTTCTATTAGTTAGGTGTTCGCTTTTTAAATTTTTTCTGTGTATAGTATTTTGATCATAATTAAAATGCCTTGAACAAACTCCAAGAAGGTGAAGTTGTCAGTTAACTTCTTCAACAACATTTGCATCAATTTCCCAAACACCAATAAGTTCTTGCAATCTCTTATTGCTGATTCTATTACAGCAACGTATCTCTTCATAATAATTATCAATTATAACACACAGTGTAGTGGGTTTTTGTATAGTTGCAGGAATTTTTTCACTATATTCACTGCCAATTTCCTCAATTTCCTCAATTTTCTTGTAGTTAATATTCTGTCCAACCATATTTTTAGCATTAAGCTCTTTCTATGGATTGTCTTGATGTTCTGTTAAGTTTAAAGCTTGCTCATACAAGTTTTGTTCAAAATTAAATAAAGGATCATCATTATAGTTATCTTCATTATCCAGAGTCTGAATGTCTATTGAAAACTCATATAGTTCATCCTGGTTAGAGTAAAGCAAAGTTTCTTGCAAAATGTATAAGAGATTAGTGCTCATTTTTTGATTATACAAGTTAAAACAGGTAAAGTTACTTGTACTTTTTATGTAAAGTGATTTTTTATTAATTTTCTGTTATTAATTTGTTTGTTAAAATCAAAATCGATGAAAACAGCATCTTTTATTGACTTGAGAGAATTGCAGTATCTTTGAAAAAAAATATTCGATAGTGTAAAGTTAAAATTTCAATTATATTGGAGTTGGAAATAACCTGATGAAAAATTTTAACAAAGTCAATGAGTTAATAGACACTTGTTTATTGAGACCTCCATTAATTTTTTTTCAATGAATAGTAAAATTATCAACAATAATGTTTGGAACTATTTTTATCAAACTTTTTAAGCATGAAAGAAAAAACTTAAAATTTTATTTAGAAACATATAACTATGCATAGAGTTGAAAATAATCTGATGAAGAATTCCAATGAGGTCAATGAGTCAATGGACACTTATTTATTGAGACCCTATTAATTTTTTTTTTTAATAGATAGTAAAATAATATTTTACTATTTTTTTCAAACTTTTTAAGCATGAAGGAAAAAGCTTAAGATTTTATTTAAAAATATATAACTATACAAATAATCTGATAAAGAATTTCAATAAAGTCAATGGGTCAATGGAACTCAATGAACACTTATTCATTGAGACCTTTATTAATTTTTTTTTCCAATAGATAATAAAATTACCAACAATAATGTTTGGAACTATTTTTTATTAAACTTTTTTAGGCATGAAAGAAAAAACTTCAGAAATAAAAATGAACAAATCCTTCCTGACTATTTTTTAGTTCTTGGAAAGATTTATTTAGAAACATATAACTCGGCCGAAATAGTTTTATAATATATTTACTTTTATTTAGTCATTAATTATAGAATAATACTGTGCATTAAATATTTATCCCTTTTTAATAATAATAACTTATTTCTAATTTTTATTAATTCAAAAAATAATGATTAAGAGGTCATATTTTATTTAATATTTTATTATATTAATTACAAAAATAAAGTCGAACAAATTTTAATGTGATTTTGTTGTAAACATGTTTAAGAATAGATTTATGTTAAAGTAATTGAAAGTAAAGTGATTAACTCTAAACATCTAAAAACATGTAATTCATTCTTTACTATATACAAAATATATATAGTGATAATTAATCGATTATTATTCTGATGTATATAGTTTTGATTTACATAGACCCCAGCATGTGTTACCATTATTAAAGGTGAATTATTTGAGCAAGGCGCATGCGCATTATTTTAAGGTTTAGAAAATTAACTTGTAATACGTATAATGATAATATTAGACTTATCATTACAATAACTAGACTACCCAAAATAAGAGTAATACAAAAAAGTTTAACTATGTTAAAAAAATTTATAATAAGTGGGCCTTTTTAAGCGAGTAAGACCTGGTATTGATCTATAGTATACCCGTGATCAGGTTTTACTATAATGCTATAATGAGGAATCTCATAGCCTTTTTTAATGTTGCTTATAGTATTTCTCATTACAAGTAAGACCTGATTACAAGCAACAATACATATAATATTAAAGTCTTACTATAATAAGAAGTACCTCAAACTATATAAGCAACATTAAAAAAAAGACTACATAGTACGTATTAGTAACTAAATGTAGTAATTACTACATATAGTAGTAATT